CGGCAAAAAATTTAGTACGTTTTTTAGGGATCTCCGAAATCAGTTCTTCACTTCATCAATACAGTTAAAATGTTTTTTGAATTATTGAAATCGGACGCTCCTTTCTCTCAAAACTAAATTACTATTTTTTCGCAACTTTTACCCCGTATTTTCAAAACGGCTGGACTTGCCTCTGCCAAAAACTAATCAGCACGTCTCCCCATTAATATGAATCGAATGTCATTTAAATTGTTCAATTCGTGTACCCAAAATCGTCGACAAAAATTTGTATCCACACACACATAAATTCATTTTTTCTAAAAATAAGGTATGCCAAAATGTTGAGAAAACTTGAAACCTTAGAATGTATAAAAAATTTTTTTGGATTTTTTTACGACTGCTATTATTATAAAGTTGTAATTAGAGGCTAATTTTGGTATAAAGGTATCTGAAAAGTCATAACTCAAATTTTTCTCAACAGAGTGAAAATTAAGTAAGTAACTATAAACAAGTATAAATAATTTGGTTATCAAGTAATAAAATTAAAATTTCTTATTTCCTAATTTACTTATTCATGGAACCCTATGGTGAATATATTATGTGATATACTCGTAATTAATTATAAACCGTAAATGTGCAGGTTAAATAAGGTTAAATAAAATTTTTAGAAGAATATATAGATGCTATATTCTATATTTCTATATATATATATATATATATATATATATATATATATATATATATTCTGTATATATATATATATATATATATATAACGACTTTCACATCATGTGAAGTGAATGTAGTAAATATTATGATTAATATTATAACTTATTCATTCACATGTCTGCCAATTATTCATAAGCGCATCGTTAATATACTTTTTCTCTCACTAAGCTTCACGGTATTGTGACTACAATAAATTCACTTTTAAATTCGCGCAAGACTAATTAATTAGGCGTTGGCAATCAATTTTCTCAAGAATAAACACATATCAAATTCTAGCGTTAACTAATATTGGATATAAGATAAAGTGATAACGGCAAGGTACACGAATTTCACATATTTACGAATATGAATTTTTATGTACATGTCATAATCAAATAATTAAAAAAATTTGTTTAAAAAAATCCATTTAAAAGAGCGGGTATTCGAGCCCCCCAGCAGCGATGTTCATTTTCTCTTGAAAATATAGATCAAAAATATGTTTCCAATTGAAAATAATATTCCATGTCCGGCACTGCGGTGTTAAATGGCAATTGAAAATCTCTCACACTATTCTTCCCTGAATTTAGTTGGAGTTGATAAAATTGAACTGTCACGAGAAATGTACATTAAAAATTGGACTTGGTTCTTTCGACGCATGTCATTTTACTTAAGCCCTATAATAAACTTATTTTAAAATGATAAAAAAAACACTATATTGCACGCATGAAATCGTTGAATTTCGAAGTGAACTTGAATAAATTGAATAAAATATTCATCAGAGTAACGTCTAGAATGTAATTCGTACGTCCATGAAGTGAAAAAAATGACTTTCTTTTACGCTCTATAAATATGAAATATGATACGAACTGTCTGACCAAAAGTAAAGACATAAAACCAAAATAAGAATAGCTTTATTATATAGATGTATACATAAATATAGACAAATACGCATTAGAATTATCATTAATTATTAATTATTATTATTGCCTATTTGAAATACGAATTATTACAATTTTAACTAACTAAATGTAAGAGTAAGTTGTATATTGCATTCTTCCTTCCTTCCTTCCTCAAACTTCTCGATTTCTATGAAAGTTTTATAAAAAAAATTATAAACAACAATTCATAATTTATGTATCAAAACTTTGAACAAAAAAAAATAAAAATTCATATTTATTATTTTATAACAAATTTAAATTGAAAATTTTTAGAAATAATTGATTAATAACTTCCCGTAGAGTATGTTATAGTAATCGCAAAAAAATCGAAAATAAAAAGTTTTATACATCTTTACGTTTTAGGGGTTTCTCAACATTGTGGCATACCTTAGAAAAAATGTATGTATGTTCAATATTGAATATTGCCTCGGATGAGCGGGTGCTTCTGATAATATTTTATTTATTAATTATTTTTTATTTATAAAAAAACGTAATTACTGACATTTAGTGCTTGTTTCCAATTATTAATTATTTACAAGTGGTGTATAAGTTATAATCTAGGAGTTTCAAAACCACTGACGATGACGTAAAATTTTATGTCAAAACGTATGGAAAAATAAAGATGTTTTAAAAATCTTAATTTTTTACTAGATGTTACGCCTTCCAAGAAATTAATCACACACACACACACATATATATATATAAATGGTAGAGTCTTGGATTTGTGAATATTTTGTAGAATTTCGAGTTTAAAAAGTTTTTTAATAAACTATTTCTTTATTTATTTATTTACTGTCGTCGTTTCGGAACTAGGTACGTTCCAACTTGAGGACATCTGTCAAGAAACATGATCTTGATAAGATTTAAGCAAACAATATGTTTAAGAAAAGAAGATGGATTTTTTAATTAATAAAGTAGTTGAAAAAATAATGTACAGAAATATGATAATATGATCAAAATGAAATAATAAAAAAATGAGTGGATTATATAACAGGATATTAAAAATGATATAAAATTTAAAAGTTTAAAAAAAAAGTTAATGAAAAATATTACTATAATTATTACTTTTTGGATTCTTGTTCGAAACTCTACAAAATATATATATATATTTATATATATATATATATATATACATATATATGTGTGTGTGTGTGCGTATGTGTGTGTATTCAATTTGTAAAACCAGAAAGATTTATTATTTGTATAGATCTAAACGCAAACAATGTCCGATCATATTAAACATGTGTTTACTAAAGATACCGCGTGAACCATCTGTATACACATCGGTGTCTGATTATACGAATTCTTTAAATTGTGATCATATTTTGGTTTCTATAAATTGATACATTAGCGTAAGCGTAATTAAATTGTTAAAGCAAAATATAAGCAAAAATAGAAATAGTTTGAAAATAAATTTTATAAAAAAATAAGTAAGTAGATCCTATTTAAATCTAACTTTGACCAATTGACTTTTCTTTAAATAAATTTCAAATTTGATCTCATTCTCCTATTATTTTTTAATTTTAGTATCCATTCAACAATTTTATCAATCAAAATTTCATAAACCGCGATTTTTATTTTTCATCTTTAGTGTTCAATACATCTATTCCCGCGGCTTTACACGGAGGATAGGCTTCATAAAAAACCGTGTAACTCGAAAAATTCATTCTTATATGGAAAAACCGCGTCAAAGGAAAAACACTATCAAAATGCCCTTTTTGCAAATTTTTAATATGATGAACAATAAACATATTGAACGAAAAATAAATAATATTAATATTAATATTAAAATATATATACATGTATGTATATATAGTGTGAGAGAATACTACTGACGAGCAAACTGAGTCTGGACTTGCGGAAGAGATTGACAAATTGTTATGTCACAAGCATAGCTCCGGACGGATCAAAGACATGGACTCTAAGAAAATCCGAGACATAGAAGAAAATAAAGTGAACGGACAAGATAACAAAAAAAGAAGTCCCGAGAAGAGTGGGCGAAGAAAGAACTCTACTGATTTTGAGAATAATCCTGAAAAGAAAAGGAAACT